GCCAATGCTAACAGTTAAATTCAAAAGTGTTTAATCAGTAAAATATTTTCATGATTCTCAGACCATATTCAACATTTGTTCAATTCGACGTTTATCCTTCTAAAATAAAACATTACTTGACCTGAATTTTATGACTGGAGAAGGAACTTGGACTTCGTAACGTTAATCACCATGGCTAAGGGTATTCACGTAAGGGATCATGTCCTCAAGCTAGTGGAGCAGTTCGATCAGCTAAAATCTCAAGGTATTAATGTTGACGAGTTGACTAAGGAATATATCATACTGTACTCGCTAACTAAGGACCACAAGCTTCTCTATCAGAATTACAACATTTGTATTCATTATTTATCGGTGACTGAGCTGATTAGGGAACTTGAGGTGGCAGAGAGGATTCCCAGTGAGGAGCAACAAATTCTTCTTGCAGAACATGAAGTTCCTTCTTCCTCAAAATCCGTAGGGATAAATAGAAAAAGGAATCCTACTCAGGATGCAAAGGAAGCATCGATAGCTGCACGATCAGGACATTGGTACCCTCTCCTTAAGAAGCACAAAGAAGGTAATTCTCATGCTTTTGTCGTAGAAACATGTTAAGCGATTGTGTCTACCAGTACCTGATGTGTAGACACTGGAGCCACTGATCATGTCTATAATTCTTTGCAGGGGTTCCAAGAAATCAGACGACTTAAGGAATGAGAGATCATTGTCTACATGGTCAATGCTACGAGAGTAGCAATTGTTGTAGTGGAAGACGTTACATTGATTTTTAATAGTAGAACTAGTTTGGTTTTGAAACATTGCCTTTATGTTACGAGTTTTAGAAAGAATTTTATTTCAGTTGCTAAACTTTTTATGGATGGTTTTATGCTTCGTTTAATGACAAAGTTAGTCTTCATTATGGGAATCACTTCATCTGTTATGGCCCATTTGTAGACTATATGTATGTTTTTAAACCAAGCTATCCCACAATGCAACAATCGAATATGAATAATGTATTAACTAAATTTATAAGAGGAAGGAACCTTCACAATTGAATCAAGTATATATTTGTCACCTTAAACTTGGGAACATCAACCTTAGGAGGATTCAAAGGTTGGTATCTAGAGGACAAATCAGTCCACTAGAAGATAATTACCCAACTTACGAGTCGTGCCTGTAAGGTAAGATGACCAAGAGGTCGTTCACGCCCAAGGGGCGTAGGTGTGAAAATGTGCTAGGATTGATTCATTTTGATTTGTATTGTCTTATGTCGATCTGGGCTAGAGGAGTTTTCAAGTATTTTGTCACTTTCATCGATGATTACTAGAGATTTGGGTATGTGTACCTAATGCACTGCAAGTCCAAATACTTTGAGAAATTCAAATAGTATCGAACAGTTGTGGAAAAGCTTCATTGTAAGAGTGTCAAGCCACTTCAATCTGATGGAGGTGGCAAATACCTCTTAGAAGAGTTTAGGACATACTTATCAAAGGTTGGAATTGAATGTCAACTGACTGCACCCAGCACGCCCCAACAGAACGGGGTTGCAGAGTGAAGGAATATAACTCTTATGGAAATAGTTAGTTCAATGATGAGTTACTTAGAGTTACCAAATTCGTTATGGGGAATGGCGTTACAAACAATAGTGTATATCCTAAACCTAATTCCATCGATGTTAGTTAAGACTACTCCATATGAATTGTGAAAAGGGCTCAAACCCAGTTTTTCACATATTCAAATCTGGGGTTGCGCTGCACACGTTCTTGTGTAAGAGCTGAAAAATTGGAAAAGTGTTCAAAAGTACGCATGTTCGTTGTCTACCCCAAGGAAACGAAAAGTGGATTGTTTTGTAGTCCTGAGGATCATATGGTGATAGTTAGCACGAACGCTAGATTCTTAGAAGAAAACTATATTATAAACCACAAGCCTGCGAGTAGACTTGTCTTAGAGGAGTTGAGAAGTTAATTAGATAGTCCCGTATCAAGTGCAAAAGTAGATACACCACATATACTACAACACGACACACTAAGAATGTACCAGTGTAGGTAATACCTCGCGTTGTGGGAGGATTGTGAGACAACCCAACAGATTTATGTTCATCGGAGAGTCATCGGACTCAGTCTCGAGTGAACTAGAGTGGACCCTTGGACGTTTTATGAGTCACCCTAGGACAAGGATGCAGTATCATCGCAAGGTGCGATGAAAGCTGAAATGAAGTCAATGGACTCCAGTCATGTATGGGATCTTGTAGAACCACCCTGTGGTGTACGACCTATTGGATGCAAGTGGATCTATAAGAGAATGAGAGAATCAGATGGAAGGTTGAGAACTTCAAGGCTAGGCTTGTTGTGAAGCGGTATACTCAGAAAGAAATGATCGATTGTGAGTAAACCTTTTCACCAGTAGCGATGCTCAAATCCATTCAAATTCTTTTGGCTGTAGCCGCTCAATGGATTATGAGATATGATAGATGGATGATAAGACGAGTTTCCTGAATGGAAGTCTTCAAGAAGACATCTATATGCAACAACCAGAGGGTTCTATCGTAGAGGGACATGAACATCTAGTATGCAAGTTGAATCTGTCTATTTATGGGCTGAAGTACGCTTCGACGTCTTGAAACATCTGGTTGGATGAGGTGATCAAGTCTTATGGGTTCACTCAATGTCCGGATGAGCACTGTGTACAAGAAGCGTAGTGGCAGCATGGTGGTGTTTCTTACGTTTTACGTAGTCGATATACTTCTAATTGAAAACAATAAGAGAAAATTGTTAGACTTAAAGGTATGGTTGTCTGAGCTGTTTGATATGAAGGACTTTGGATAAGTAAGACACATTCTTGGTATCAAGGTCATTCGAGAGTTAACAGGTTAGGTAAAAAAATTTCTTCCTATTAATCGAGCGAAATCAAGTTGGTGAATTAATCTTTGCCAATATATTTTTTTCTTAGTTCGTTATAATAAATTATTCTTCAAATTAATACAATTTACTATTTAAGATAATGGTCAGATACATCAAATAGTTTTATTAATGATAAAAAATTAAAATTAAAATATATTAATCATTTTTTAAAATTTATTTGTATATTATTGGCAACTATGATTATTATTTTTTTATTATTTTTGTATTTTAATTTCATTCTATAATGAAATTCTTGTAAAATTTATTTTCATTGTATAGTATGCTAAATAAGCTATAAATACTTACAATGCAAATAAAAAATTCTTGATTATAGAAAGAATTAAGTTTTTGCCATTTGCTAAATCAAAGTTGTTTAATTGTTATAAAAGATTAAATTTTAAAATACTTGTGTGTATATTTGGTAAAATATTTATATATTATTTAATTTTAAATTTATTCATATATTTTAAAACGATTACATAACTAAATAATACTAACGTGCATTAAATATTTTTTATTACATAAAAGTAAAAGAAAAAAGAAGATGTACAATTTCTATACTTTTATAAATAATAAAGACATTATATGACAACAAAGTTTATAATAAAATAATAATTTAGTATTATAAGTTGAACAGAAATATGAAAAAATTGTTATTTTCTCTTATACCAAGAAATAAATATATATACTAAAATCAAATTCATATTAGTATAAATGTGTTAATGAGATAATATACTAATTATTTTACAAGCTAGCCATAACATGTTCATACTGAATGTTTTTGCTAAAAAAAACAATGATAATTAAAAGATGTAGAAAATATATTCTAACCCTATTATTTCTTAAATTTAATGCTGATTAAAAGATGTGAAAAATAGATGATAACTTTAAACATACAACTCATTTAATAATTTTGTTTCGGCGTACTAGTTTCAAAAAATAAAAATAAGCATGTGTCACGAATTCCAAAAATTTTAAAAATATTGGGTGTGATAACCATTTTTGCGGAATGTGATTCTCTCAAGTGGGAGCGATTACGGCGATTCTCTCAAGTGGGAGCAAAAATTCTGAGTTTCTTCTCCGGCGATTTCTTCTTCGTCTTTCTGGTTTCGTGAAGTGTGAGGTTAGCGAGTAATTCTCAGTTTATTATCGATTTTTACCCTATCGATGGCGGAGTCCACCTGTATTGGCCACGACGATGACCTAGCTGAACGAATTAAGGGATTCTCCCTTTCTGAGAAGGAAAGTCTCATAACAGGGATCGAGAATGAAGATATAAAAGTTTGTTCAGAGGAATGCCACAAAAGCCTTTTTGGAAAGGTGATAGGAGACCGAAAAGCAGGATGGCTGGGAATTAAGAAGGCGATGAGCCACATATGGAGGCTGCAGCAACATATGGAGGTCAAGGAATTGGGCTACAATTTCTTTCAGTTTGTATTTCAAAGTAAAGAAGATATGAGGAAGGTTGCAGATGGCTTCAGCTGGAGTTTCGAAAATCAATATATAGTCCTCAAAGAATGGGAAAGAGGATTGACAAACAAACACCCAGCTTTTCAACAACTTAATATCTGGGTTCAGGTATGGAACCTCCCTATCAACTGTCTCAGTACCGAGGTGGGCATTAAAATAGGAAAAATTTTTAAATCAGTAAGGAATGTGGTTATAGCCAGCTCTGGTAGCCATGGGGGGAGAATTCTCAGACTGTTGGTGACTTTGGATATTACAGAACCGCTCCCCAGGTGTACCAATATTCAGTTGGACGAGGATATTATCAGTGTGGGCTTCAAGTATGAAAAACTGCATAATCTGTGTTATTATTGTGGTCTCATAGGGCACCTCCACAGAGATTGCAATAAGAGACTGGATGCAATTAAAAATGGCTCAGTTAGAGAGGGTCAGTATGGGGACTGGATTAAGGCAGTGGAGGGTCAAAATTGGATTGATGTTGGTAAGACTGGCTTAGGGCACTCCCCATCTTCAAGCAGACAGCCAGAATCTTCTTCTCCTCCCAGGAATTCTTCAAGTTCTTTTGATAAGGGGAAGCAGATAATTCAACTCCAAGAGCAACCCCCAAGCCATTCTCATCAAGAAACAGCAGCCTCTAATTCCACACAAGAGGATGTTATGCGCAGAGTCCCTTCTTCAGTAACTAAGGTCCCATTACTTCCAACTACTACTATGAAGCAAGTGGAATTAAGCATCACTGATGAAGTTGAACCACTCCAGAACAAAGACATGGAGTTGGAACTGGCCATTCAAGTATCTCCAACCCCCATCAACCTTGATGTCTCTACTCCCCATCCCACAATGCTTCCTCCAGCTTCTAAATTAAAGACTTGGAAAAGAGCTTTGAGCAGGGAAGGTAGGCTGGAAAGAAATGCAAGTCAAGACTTGATGATTCAAGA